TATGAAAATGCTAGTTTTATTTAATGTTTTTCAAGGTCAGAATTATTTGAAAATTAAATTTTGCTTAAAGTGGTATGGTACAAAGGAAAGTGTACTAGATTTAGAATCAGGTGACTGGAGTTCAAATTCCAATTCTATTACTTAGTGTGTGAACCTGGGAAAGTCTCAGAGCATCTCTGGGGCTCAGTTTCCTCACCCATAAAATGAGGATATTAAACTAGATGACCTCTGAAGTACCTCCCTTCTCTAGATAGTACAATGGAAAGTATGCTGGTCATGGAGTAAAGGAGACCTGAGTTCAAATCCAGTCTCAGAGGCTTATTAGCTGTATGACTCTGAGTGAAGTCACTTAATCTCAGTAGTGTGCCTCAGTAAGCTCATTGGTAAAATGGAGATAATCATAATTCCTGCTTCTCAGAGTTACTATAAAGATAAAATAGATAATATTTGTAAAGTAATTTGGAAACCTTAAAGTTCTGTATAAAATCTAATTGTTGTTAGCTAAAAATTCAAAAGGAGAAGAAAAGAATGGAAAATATTCCAGACAGAAGGAAGAACCTGTGAGTATGCTACATTTTTAGAATGAGAAGAGAGTTGTCCTGTCTGGCTTATATATAGAGTATGGAGAGATGTGAAATAAGGCTCAAAAGATTGAGTATTGTTAGGTTGTGAAAGACCTTGAATCCCGAGCAAAGGAAAATGAGCTTTACTTGGTAGAAAATAGAGAGCCATTGAAGATTTGAACAGAGAAATGAGGTGATCAGATTTACATGTAAGATTATATAGACAGCAGTGTGACAGAGAGATTGGAACAGGAGATGGGGTGGTGAGAAGATTTTTTAAGTAGGGTATTCATTGATCCACATGGATAGTAATGAGGGCCTGTCCTAAGATAATGGCAGTGAGTATAGCAGAAAGAAATTCAAGAGATGTGATAGTAGAATTTTTTGAAAAGAATAATAAACCTGGTTGAGAACTGATTGATTATGAGCCATGAGTGAGAGGGGTTAATCAAAGATCACTAGTTTATATGAATGTGAAGATGGGGTGAATGATATTACAGATGGAAATGATTGAAATCACTAGGAGGACCAGATTTAGGGAGAAAGCTAATGAACCTAGTGTTAGACATCTATGGGGAAATAATGCAGAAGAAAAGTCCCAACTGGAGACATGCATCAGAGAGTCACCTATAGGTAGTAGTTGAGCTGTGGAAATGAATAAAGTTGCCTAGAAGAGAAAAGATATCAACAACTCCACAATCTTTTATTAAGCATCTATTATATGTCAAGGAGAGAATCTAGGACCCTTGAAGAGCTCCCACCTTAAGGGTTTAAGAGGATAAGGAGCCAACTTGAGAAATAACAAAAGGAATAGTTAGGCCTCTGAAACCAAGGGGGGAAGAGAATAGTAAAAGGAAAGCATACTGAACAATGCCAAAAGTGGTGAAAGGGCAAGGACAATGAAAACTGGGGGTAACTAAATTTGGTGGTTAGGTGATTGGTAGTCTTTGAGAGAGCACGTTTATTTTTAATAAATTTATTTTTTTACATGCATTATAATATGTCCCTCCCACTGTCCCCCATTGAACAAACAAATGAATAAATAAATATGTAGATAAATGAGTGAATGAATAAACAAATAAGTAAATAAAGCAGAAAATAAGAACCTCATCATAAGCACACATAGTCTAGCAAAAATATTGGCCATGCCCAAAACTGTATGATCCTCTCTGTATTTTAAATCCATCACCTCTCTGGTAGGAAATGGGTGATTTATTTCATCTTCAGCCTTCTGTACTCATGGATTATCATTGCACTGATCAGAATTTCAAAGCTATTTTTCTCTATAATGTTGTCATTGTATAAATTCTTCTCCTAGTTTTGCTCACTTCTATCTGTATCAGTTCATAGAGATCTTCTCAGTTTCCTCTGAAACTGTCTGTTTCAACATTTCTTATAGTACAATAATATTACCTTACATTTAATATACCACAATTTGTTTTGCCATTCATCAACAGAAATTGATTAGAATTTCCCTTGGTTTCCAATTTTGGGCTACTATGAAAAAAGCTGTCCTAAATATTTTTGTACCTATAGATCCTTTTCTTCTTCCTTTGATCTCTTTGGAGCACAGGTCCAGAAGTGGTAGTTAATTGTTGTTCAGTCATGTAGAACTCTTCATGACCCCATTTGGGGTTTTCTTAGCAAAGATATTGGAGTAGTTTACCATTTCCTTCCCCAGCTCATTTTACAGATTAGAAACTGAGACAAACATGGTTAAGTGACTTGCCCAGGGCCACACAGCTAGTAAGTGTCTGAGGGCAAATTTGAACTTAGGGAGATGAGTCTTCCTTTGCAGACTCAGCACTGTATCCACTGTACCACCTAGCTACCTGAAGAATAGAAGAGAGGAGCTGAAAAAATTCCCATGAGTAGCTTCAATCTTCTCTGTGAAGTTGAAGGCTGTAAATTCTCTGCAAAGAGAGAGGAGAGAAAGTTTAGAACTTTTGGAGAATGAGAAAGTGCTTAGTCAGAATTAAGCAGAAAGATTATTGAGCAGCATCAAGAGTTCCACTTAAATTGTTAGCCATGAATTTGTAGTGGGTGAAGTCGGCTGCATTTACTGAAGTGTACTAGGGGTACTCATTAGCCTGAGGAACAGAAGAGGGAAATACGGTTGATGAGAGTTCCCTAGGTATGAGGATTCACACTTCAGAGATAGTGGAAAATCAAGAAGACGAGAACCTCGGGACAGTAGCTAATGAAACATGAAAGTGCTAAAACCAAAGGGTCAAAGCCGGGCTTCAGTGCAAATGAAGCTAGAATGAAGATGTTCTGGGACAATAGTGATTTGTAAAGAACCAAAGGTCATGCCAAGGGCCAAGAGGAGAGTTAATATAAATCAGAGTGGGAGCAGTGAAAGGAATGAAGGTTGTGGTCATGTTTTTATGTCAAGTGGTTTAATTCAGACTGTTAAAAAGGACTAGAGGGGATTAATAAGCTCTGAACTTGGAACAGAAATCATTATCTTTTTGAAGTCAATATTTTGATGATGATAATAATAATAGCTAACATTTACCTTTGCCTAAGATTTGCCTAGATTTTACATTTATCTGATCTAAACTATATAACAGACTTATGAAGTAGATATTATCATCTCCTTTTTATAAATGAGGAAACTGAGGCTCAAAAAATTAAGACTTGCCCTCAGTACTACCCCGCATGTGGTGGCATGGCTAAAATTATATAAGAAACATAAGAACAAAGAAAATGATCAGCCAAGCCTTCCACACTGTTCATAAATGGAGACTCCTGTGATTTAAAAAACAGTGTTGCTGCCTAAAGAACCTGCTATGTACTGTTTGTGGTGCTGCCTGCTTGCTTTCTGGGCTGTCTGAAGTCCTTGTTCCAATAAAGTCACTTCTGCATCTGTTTGGGCTGCAAACCCTGTTGATCTGTCTGCTGCTAATGTTTCCCACACAGTTCCTGCACCAAAGTCACATTTGAGTGCCTTTCTAAGACCTAAGAAAACTATAAATGTGGAGGAAAGGGGAGGGTGACATTTTTTCCCTATAAAAATAACAGGAAAAGACAACTCTTAATAATATTGGACTATTCACTTAAACCAAAATCCCTAAATATGGATTTACTTATGAGAGACGATTCTACATTCCTAAGATTTTCCTCTCAATACCGCACTAAGAAGCAGAAAGTCCATTACTGATTTTTTTTTCTTTTTAAATGGAATGTAATGGATAGCAGAAGAGTGGTATATTCCTTTGGAAGTTATGATGGAGAACAAGTTGACATCATCAGTTTTGAAAAGCAAGGTGGATACATGCCAATGCTGAATTTACCCGCTGCAGTTAAAGAGCCCTTTGAATTTGCTTCATCTCCAGTCCATGAAAGAGCCAAAACCACACCCTCAGCCCAAGGAGTGTACAGGCCCTGTCATTTTGGCTATCCTATGGATCTTTGAAGATTTCCTCAATAATGGCCATTTCGAAGGATTTATTTTTCTTGAGCTCCTGAACTATGTCCGGTTTTCTCAAGTCCAGTATTTTCCAGAGACATTCTGCCTTCACCTTTATATAGACTTTAAAGTAACTATAGGAAAGCTATAGGAATACAGAAGTAGCCTCAAATTTTTAATTTGATGTGTAATATCAAAAAACAATTCTAGTCTGGAATACAACAAAGTATAACCTTAAAATCCAAATGCCCTCAGAATTTAGAGTATTTGATGGGAAGGACCCTGGAGTCCAGAGTCTGTTTTCTGGTCCCCCATCACTAATGACAGTCTCTTCATCTTAAAATAAGGGGATTGAGCTACATGACGTCTGAGGTACCTTGCAATTCTAATTTTGCACTGTTATGCTAAATTCATCTCAAGAACTATATTGGACTCTTGCCCAGAGGATAAAGCCAGAAGGGCTTGGAAAACATCAAACTGAAAATACTGTCTGTGACCCAACAACCTCAGAGAAACCAGTTGCTAAACCACAATACAAAATTTGACACCCTGACAGATTTCAACAAAAACCTTCTTCCAAAATGGTTAGAAGGCAAAGCGAGTCTTTGAAATTATGCCTGGCTCAGCTGACCATCTGAAACAAGCTATGGAGGTCCTACCCCTCTCCTGCTTCCTTTCTCTTTTTCCTTACCCAACCTAAAATGTGGGATTTTCCAGGTTGATAGTGCTTTAACACATTACTTATACAAGGTTTGGGTTTTGCTTTCTCCAAAGACAGTTGAGATCTCTTTCTCATACCTTTTATTACTCAGTGTTTTAATTTGGAAGGTTAAAAGTGACAAGAGGAAACTAATGCACTCTTAACCTGGACTAAAAGAAATTAAATTTTCTAAGTCAATATTCTGATTAAAACAAACTCTCTGATTACTAATAGTTGTAAGTCTAGACCTGAAGCATGTGTTATAGAAGACTGGAAGGGTAATTTGGGGCCATTATATAACTGCCATTTTTTGTTTTTGTTCAAGGTATCATAAAACTGAGTTCTGCAGTTGAAGGTACGTTTTTTTGCAACCACAAAACCAATGCTTTGCTCAGGGGATCCAAAGAAGGGTTTTGGTATTCTTCCAGCAGTGACGAGAGGGGCGTCTGTAGCACTCTGGGTAGTTGATCATCATTTTCCCCTGAGTGCCAGCAGTTGCCTTTCTATCTCATGCCTTTGCTTGTTCCAGTCAATATATGCCTCTGGGTCTCTCACTTTTCTACAAGTTGTATCATCATGAACCTGGGAAGGTAGCAAAACAGGAGCGTGGTTTCTATTTTCTACTGTAATTGACTCACACCAGATGACCTTCAGCAAGTCCCTTAATCTGTGTGGGCTCCATTCCATACTGGGTAGTGGTTACGTGAGTCTTTTCAGGGAACTTTGCCTTTGGTTCTTTCAACAGGGCTTTCCACTAAATTCTTTGGGCATTTACTCATACATAGCACACATATTTGCCCTGGAAATACCTGTTTCCCAGAGAGCAGAACACCTAGTTATTCTTAATAATGAGCAAAATAACTAAGTAGATATACATGGCAAATATCAATTGGGAGTGTGAGGGGGGAGGGAGGAGGACAGGATATGCTACTCAGGATAGGGTTTTAGTACTGACTTAGAGATGTCCTTCCCATATCGATGAATGATCAGTCTTTTTAGCTTCCCCTTGCAGGAATCTGAGAAAGCAAGGTAAGGAAAAAGGGAAAAAGAAAGAAAGGTAAAACTTAGAGGGGAAAAGCCCAGGAGGAGACATGATAGTGTACATCCCCAGAGAGTTTGTTTCTTTGGGCTTTTTTTTAATATACCATTTTTTAAAAGTTGCATTATGCCACGTTATCTGATTGATGAATTGTTATTACAAACATTATCCTTATCTTCAGGGAGCATACAATCCAAAAGCAGAGAATATGTCCTTTTCTCTTTTTTGTGAGTTTTTATGTTTGTTTGGGGTTTTGTGTGTGTTTGTTTTACTGGGAGTGTTGTCAGTCATGCTTCCGAGGTTTCCTCATCCTGCTTAATCAGGGAAGGCTTCTCGGAGGAGGTGTTGGGCTTTAAGGTGAGTTTTTAATTTAAAAGGAGCTATGGCTGGTGAATGGGAAATGCATGGACATGGGAGTGGGGAAATGATATGTTGGACTAGAGCAAAGGAATAGAGCTGCATAGATAATAAGTAAGAGGGGGCAAACCACATCCAAAAGACAGGGATTCTTACTTTTGAATAGTTTAGAACTGTGGTGTTTCTAAGGAAGATATTGAAAAAGTAAATTCTAGAACTCATATTGCTACAAAAATACCACTGCTCGTGCTACGCAGAGAACAAGGAAAAGATGACGTGGAATTGAGGACAGAGGGTATGAGGGCAGAGGGAAAGAAAGCAGGAGAGGTATAGGGCCTCCATAGCACATTTCAGGTGTACAACCAGGCCAAGCAAGAATTCAAAGACCTAGTTTGATTCTGATGCCCAAAATCACTCCACATAGAGGGACTGAGTATTCTACAGCAACAACTCTGATCAGGGATCTCAGAACTGAGTTTCAGTTTAATTATCTGTGGAGCAGGAGTTCTTAAATTTTTTTTTATGACATTGGTAGTCTGGAGAAGCCTCTGGACCCCTTCTCAGAATAATGTCTTTGAATAATTGAAGGGAAAACTAAATTTCACTTTAGGTTAGTGAAAAATAAAGATGTGATTTTTTTCCACATCCAGGTTTATTTAATCTATTCATGGGTCTTTGGGGCCCATGAACCCTAAGTTAAGAAACCCTGCTATCAAATGAGAATTCTAACACTGCAGATTCTCTGGGGCCATTTTGATATTTTATGAAGGACAGGTTTGGAAGTAATCACTTTCCTATTGCCTGCTTGACTTTATGTTCCAAAGTCATTTGCCCCAAAAGTCACCAAAAAAGATAGCTTCTTACAACTAATGCCTATTTTGCCACCTGAGCCCCCACAAAAAGTGTTCTATATTCTTCAGAAAAAGACTCTGGGGAGAAATGAGGACAGGAGACATTGATTCCTTGTTTAGCCTCCTTCCTGGCCCTTTCCACCTTCATCACTTTGCCCACTTTGTAGCCCTGAGTAAAGTCAGAGAACTCTGGCAATGGCATCCTCTGGGTTCAGTCCCACTTCCACCACTCACAGCAACACTTGATTGGCAGAGAGTTGTTGGCAGCCTTTCTGTAGGCATGCTCAGCATGCCTCTTTTGGAGCACCAAACCAAGGTCTACACAGTTTTCAAAGCTAATGCTACAGACTTTGCAAATGCTCACCTAATGAGCATATTTGCAAGTTCTCCATTTGTGAAGATCAACTTTAAGCAGTTTTATTGAGCCTCCTAAACTTAAAAAAAAAAATTAAAGTCAAAAAAGCAACCAGTTAAATTGTCAGGATCTGAAAACAGTTCTGGATTGGATAGTCCTGGAATCAGAAAAATATCAAACACATTTTGAGTTTAGAGGTTGTTTGTTTTTAGGGGGAAAAAAAACAAAAACAGAAAATATCTTGAGTCAAAACAGAGAACCTATCACTATGTGACTTGTTATTTGATATCATGCAGGTTTTCTTCTCCCTTTTGTCTGAGAAAAAGAGATTTTCATTGAAATCCTTGAAGTGTGAAGAAAAACAGAACTGTCTCTACAAATTGCATTGACATTGGATTAAAAGTAATCCTATGTCCTTTAAAAGACCTACCTGGTAGAGAGACACATGACTATGTTCTAATCAACCAGCAATAAAGAAAATATTTTCACAAAACATATCACATTTTTGCCCCCACTACCACCAACATTTTTATTTTGTCCCTTTGTTGTAGATACTTTGGATTCTGGCTGTTTTCAATGCTCAAATCAGTGATCCCCTACGTTTTCTTAAATAATAAAGCAGTGAGGCACGCATAGGGGAAAAAATTCAATTGCCAAAATAATTGTAAATCTTCTAGGATTTTCTGCCTAGTAAATTTATTTTATCTCTAAGATTTTTTGCCCTTAGCAAAATCCTTCTTTTTTCTGTGTAAGAGCTCACACTTGCCTTAATCAAGATAAAATAAGAGCATGGGACATAACAACATCTGAGGCATGCCGATGTTAGAATTACTTTCACAAATTGTAGACAGGTTTGCCTTTTTAAGAGAGGGAATAACCAGCCCCAGCCTGAAGCTTTTTAAACATATAGACATATGTGTAGAGTGAGTTAAGAGGGAGACTTGTCACGTCAAGAGAGGCAAGATGAAACAGAGCAGGAGCAGATGAGTTGATTACAAGCCTTTTGAACTGATAACTGCGGCTGTGTCATGTGATGAGATTTGCCTGAAAGGCTATTTGTTTTCCACACTGTAGATGAGAATCAAGAATACCAGAATGACACCAAGTACTTTGAAAACCTAGGCTAGGGAGATGAAGAGTTTGGCTTCAATGGACAACTGTTTCATGTTTCTTAAAATGGGAACAGATGAGTTTATGTGAAGAAATCATCAGAGATTTTCTCACTTGTCTGGCCCAGATAGAATTGTTAGCAGATCTCTTCTACCCCAAACCTTCCATCTAGTGAGATTGTTGGGATTGTGCCTCTGAAAACCACAGCAACATTTGACAGAGTAATGAGCCCACAGGTTTCCAGGAATGGCTTTGTTTTCGAATGGCAAAGGTCCCCCGGGCATCTATAGGTTTCTGTGTTGTTTGGTCATTCTATTAGTAACACTGGCTAGAAAGTCTTAGGAGAAGAAGGCGTTTGTTTCTCAAAGAGAATGTCAGGGCAGCCTAGCACCCATCAGAGAAGGAGACTATTGGTAATAGTCATGAAATTCTCTAGCTAAGGCTTCTCAAAACATTACAGTCCTGACCTACCACACATGAATTCTCTTTAAGAAGATAAGCATGAATACACAAAAATCTGACTCAATCCTTTTCATCCAGTTCCCTAAATCTTGCAGGACTTCAGATTGACTTTCTGTGTCATAAATACTTAACAACCAACAAGTGTTCATCTATCAGCGTGTCCTAGTATTTCCCTCACTAAGTATTCCAGGTGAATAAGAAATTCATTCATTCATTCTTCTGTCTTATATACCATGTCATTTCTGGCAGACTTATGTACAATGTATCCACAATGCAGTATAAAATTAGAGTATTTTTTTTTAATCTCAAACTGGCATTTCATTACTCCTCTCAAAAAATCTTCCTAATTGTGTTTCCCCAGTTGTTCTACAACGTGCTAGACACTAAGTTTAATTCACATAAAACCCACTAATTTTTTATTTGTAATCAGTTTATTCCTTGTAATAAATTTAAATGAACTTTCTGATGTTTATATTGTTAGAAAGCAAGACTACATCATTCTCTAGGTAAAATACCTGTAGACAACTACTTAAAAGGAAAAAAAAGGTTCAGAGAGGAGTAACCTCTCTTTTTTTCCTATTAAAGTTTTATTAATGCTCTTCTATTTTTTGTATCCCTTTCAGTTGTTTTTTAATTATATCTGACTCTTTGTGACCCATTTGGAGTTTTCTTGGCAAATATACTGAAGTGGTTTGCCATTTCCTTCTTCAGTTCATTTTATATTTGAAGAAACTGAGGCAAGCACGGTAAAGTAATTTGCCCAGGGTCGCATAGCTAGTAAGTGTCTGAGGCCAGATTTGAACTCAGAAAGATGAGCCTTCTTTATTCCAGGCCTGGCACTCGATCCACTGTACCCCTTAGTATATCACTAACACTTCCCAGTGACTCTTGACCATCCCTATACACACTCACAAAATAGGACACTCCTTTACATAACAAGTTCAATCAAGCAAAACAAATCAATACATTGGCCATTCCTGAAAATACATGCTTCAATTCTCTACCTGTATTCTACCACCTAGTAGTGAGAGGTATGAATCATTCTTCATCTTCAGTCCTCTGAAGTTACTATATCTGGTAACTTCTTTCAGTAGAAGTTCCGTAGGGTATAAGATGGCAACAGACTGATAAACTGAAGACTGAAAGGTAGAAACAGATCAAAGGATTTATTGGTGAGCCTA